AAGGGATTGAGTCTAATTATCATGTTTTACCACACGTTGTATGTACAACTGCCGTGTCTCCCAAAACACACTCCTTTATCTACCTCTTTGCATTCTAGGTGTGCAACTTGGCCTGGTCGATCCATAGTAACGAGCTGGTCAGTACGCATGGCTACTCACAGAACCAGATCCTCGTCTGGCGCTACCCATCCCTCACTCAGTTGGCCAAACTCACAGGCCACTCCTATCGCGTTCTCTATCTGGCGGTCAGTCCGGACGGTGAAAACATCGTCACCGGCGCCGGAGATGAGACGCTTCGCTTCTGGAATGTCTTTTGTCGTGTTAAGGCACCGAAGGTAACTATTTATTTTTTTCAGACGATTAGCGTGAGAAATGACAAAGTTGGAACTTCCCACACCTGCTCGCCAACATTCGGCCATTTTTTGAAGTGTCAACTCAGTTGACTAAACACGGGGATATTTATCTCAAGAAATTAGCTGGACGTGGTGTCCATCCGGTCGTCGACGTGGTTCTTAAGTCCCCGATATTCGGTCTTTGGCGCTCACGAATGGACTAAGTAGAACGCACGTTATTCGCTGGAGCAAATAACTTTGCATTATACCCTTGGCCGGGTAGGTCGCTCTCCGTGTCCGGTACCAACAAGTTACCGGTTGTTTACTTAACTCGCTGGTTGAACGGATGAATATGATAAGTGGGGATTTAGGCTCATCCTTCCACCACCGGGTGCCTGACCTTTAAGATGTCGTAAGGCCGCGTATACTCGCAGCTCCAGAGCTAGCTCGCATCGAGCTATTTTTAGATTATGCCTAGTTTGACGTCTTTTTTTCTATGTTCTAGCCGCATCCCTCGTCCCTAAACCTGTTCAATGCAATCCGATGATTGTCAGCGCCCTCAAATCTGCGACAACCTTCCTACAAATCGCGTGATCGGATAATTCTCTTTCCCACACATGTATGCTGCCTCTTACTGCCTTCCCTGCAGAAGGCTAAAGAGACAGGGACAGCGATCGCGGCCCACTCCCCCCCGGCCAAGGCACCCCTGTTTCGAAACTTGTATACATTTTACGCGCCCTAACTGTG